GAAACCAAGCGACGGAGTACGCTTTTAAGGGCAAGCATAAATTCCGATTATAAACTAAGTTCGCCACGGTTACTAGCATTAACGTTTCCGCGGGTTGCGAAATTATGATATTAGGGTCAGATTGCAAACGATGATGGTGAATCCATCTATTGGTCCGCGTTCGTGTACTGATTCCCAATTAAGAGACTCGAAACTCAACTCATTACTGTTAACGAAGTATCATTTGATCGTTTCCAATCCTCCGGGATCCCTTAATACCGGAGCTGGCAGAAACCCCAATAAATTGTAGGAAATAACTCAAACTCTTCTTCAGTTTACCGCTAGCCTGAACACCATCAAACTTTTTGAATCTTCGGAAAAATACGTACACCAAGTAAAATTGTCACAGAAACCATTACTCGAAAATTACGGAAATAATATTCCTGATCCTACTGCTCTACAACTTAACCACTTCTTCCTTTTGCTCGTGTGAATAAATAAGACCAATTGACAGAGGATGTTAATTAATTTAACACGTTGATCTTCACGTCACCCATATATAGGTGACAGGACTTTTCGTTAAGAAATTAAATAAATTTATACCGAAGATGAAATGTGGAAGAAAATAAATCTGCAAAGAATTCACGAATGTGACGAAATTGCAAAAATAAGTTCCAGTTGTATAAAAACAAAATGTTAGACTCATATAAATTTGTACGAGTAGTTTGACAGTCAACGTATTAATCTATCATTCACGATCTCCCTTTCATGAGATTGCGTAGTTCGGTTTTTAGTCCTTGTTCCTAGATTTATTCCGCTAATCGAAACGTAGCAAATAAAAAGTTCGACTGTTGCCTTGAAGTACCTTCCGTCCACGCGATGCACTTATCAATAATGTCATGCGGAACGTTCGAAATCAATTTTCTGCAACGAGTATGTTGATTCATTTAGAGCTCCTTGTACTCGCATATCGTACCTACTCCACCATTACCGAGCAAGTATTCTTCAAAACAAAAAGAAACATGGATAGAAATTGTACCCGGATCAATACGATGCAAATATAAAGTAGGTTCTGCACGATCCAATTTTAGATCGTCGGACTCGGAAATCGGTACGAATTCGAGATGGAAATACACGGGGAAACGTTCCGGTGTGCTTGTCGCTCCTGTTGCAAATTTTATGAAGCGGGGATCTCGAATTCAGGAGGCTAAATCCTGTCATGAGAACGAATTAGCTTCCAGCCGGATTATACGGCCAGTCGCGAATCGTCCTTGCAAAATTAACATTAGAAGTTTCATCCAGGTGGCTCCGGGCTACCCTCCAGCCTCGGATGAAGTAACAAATTTGCAACCTCGTCTACCAGAAATAGATTCGCTCGAGGAACTGAAAATTTTGCGTCTCATGGCTAGTACATATTTCCCATCAAGCTGCTGAGATTAATCTAATAAAATGGTTATTTTATTTTTGTTTTTTATATAAATAACGACTGAGAATGTATACACTTTTTTATTTGGTGAGGAAGGCACTAGTAGAAAACAAGGACTTGACGAACTACTTCTTATTAACCCATTCACTGCCGTTTGCAAGATGTCTCGAAGTTCAAATCGATTGGAATTACTCAAGGGATAAGTTTATAGCATTTTAAGTCACGAATTGATGCAAAAGAAGATCGTAAATTTTGTTTTTCAAACAATAAATTTAGTGTCACTTTTTATTATGAAAATAAGAACCTAGATTACACATCTGTATATCAGAGCTTTTATCATACAAAAATATATATATATCCCCCATCGTTACCAAGAGTAGTACCTTTTAATACAGATCCATCACAGTTGACGATCGGCAAAAATGAATCTTGAAGATTACAACCTGTATAATATAGAGACTGTTTCTCGGTAATCTCCGCTTGAATATGAAGGTATCAGACAAGTAACCAAGTAGAATTGTGTCCGTAATGCGGGATTTATCCACTATTCGGTAGAAGAGCGAAACCAATTACACCGTCGACTGCAACTGGATCTCGCGTTTCAATTATTGTAACTCAAGTTACTCGGAAGATCGCAGCAATCTTATCTGCTTACTCGCGAAATTCTCGTTTAATCGTTCCCCGTATAGAGCGCCTAGCTACTTTCAGATAAAGTCGTACCCGGATAGAGCCGGTATTGGATTCAACCCTTGATGCGCTCGATACGGCTCGACGCCCAAGTAATTAAACATTGTGATTAAATCCCACTAGAAGAACACCCGAAGAAAATTAACCGCACGGCCAAGATGCCGCCATGCATTTCGGAAAATAAAATCGCCTGGAGTGTCCGGTGGAAATTATGGATGACCTCGAAAAGAAATGGAGAAAATACCTATCTATTCTTCCTGTCCCTGTCCTTTAACCCTTTGCACTCGAGAGGTATCAGTCAAGAGGTACCATTCAGTCACCACTAGATTTCACGCACCAAATCTACCAGCAATTATGTTTCTTTAGGTTTAATTTCTTTGGAGCTCGAAGTATCACTAAAAAGTGACCTGATTCTCAAATCTCAAATTAGTTTCAATCACGAACCGGGCTGCATCTTTGATGTCAATCTAAGCTTAGCATTCGTGGCCTCGACTGCAAAGGGTTAATAAAATAGTGACTTGGGAACCGTAATACAATCGATAATAGTAAGAATTTGAAAAACACCCTATGGATAACGAAGATGGATCATGCCTTTTCCTCATAGATGAACAATTGGTAGGGCTACTCTCGACGTTCAGTCGACCCTTCGGTGCCGCGAGATATATCGAAATTGACTAACAAATAGCCGCTCATCACGACCAGAGAGCTCCTATAGTGCGCACGTCGGCTTATTGGAAATGCTGCTATCGTATCCCAAGTGGTGTAATCAAGGGCTTCTAGATCTCAAGAGTACCTTCAGAAGACTCGCCTGGAGGGACACTTCGACCCGAGTGTGCCTATCTTAACTATAATGCAGGTTTATCTAAAACAGTATTTACGAATGTGGAGGCAGATGGTCGTACGAGTGCAAACGACAAGATGAAAATCGGTAACGTTGGCGGAGGCCGTAAGAAATCATAGGTTCTATTTCTCGTTTTCAATCGACGGCTTATTAAACCATGGAGTTCCTCTCAATTTAAAAGCTATTGCTGGGTGGCAAACATCGAATACCAATTTAAAGTTTCAAGTTGAAAGCGATACGGTACACGATCCATCAATTATTTCGATATGGAATAGAGAAATCAAAATTAAATTCGAGCACGGATCTTACTTATGCGAGTTTAAATTAATTTGGAACGCTATTCGCAATACCAATGGCTGTTCGAAATTAAAACTTCGTTAGCGCATGTGAACGCTGGCTTCTGTATATCTCCGAAACACATTACATCGGCTTTGTTTGCATACTCTGCGTTCTATCAATTAAACTATCGGTTTGTTTATTGATGTATAACGATGACAGGCTACATACATGTAGAACGTTTCACCGTCCGAACAAACGAACGTCCGTTCGATTATTCGACAATTCATGCGACGATAAAAGCGCAAATTATGTCGAACTCGAATCGTCATCGACGAAATGAACGCGAACTAATTTTCTTGCGATAATGAGATGCCTCTCTCTATCGTTCCCCTATTTCGGTTCGAGAGAAAAGAATCGCGACTTCGGTGAAATTTTCGAGGGAAACAATTAAAATCAGATACTCGTGCACGCGACACGAGTATAATTAAACAATGTGACAATGGCAACTGATGTCGAAATCACGGTTACGCGAATGTACGGTGTTGCCTTTCGCGGATAAATCCGACGATGCAAAATAAAATGTGGATGATCCCAGGCTGACAAACGTGACGTTGTCCTCGGTCAAAGCGCAGCCCATTAGCGTAAATCCAGATTTAATAGGCTAAGAGGACAATAATGAGTATACCGCGGACTGCCGTAACGGTCGGATATCCATTATTCATGGGCTCGTGATAGCCTACAAAATCCATCGGCGGATCGATGACAGTTCGACGACCACGATCGAAAATACATACCTCTCCCGTCGAAATAGAATTTTTTTAATGCGAATTCGACGAATATTATTCATAGATAATCAGTATATAAAATAGAAAAAAAAATGTATTTTAAAAATGAGATTAAATTTTACCCAAGCTTTCCTATTTATATTATAATTTTGACTTGACTTACTATGTTCATCACAAAACATTTTCACCTTGAATTTTTTTTTGTTTTTTGCATTTTCAATTATTCTTAATCGATTCAATTTATACTTTGTGTATTGCAATCAGTGATTTGAACGCTTTTAATTTGCATAATATCGAGCAACGAGAGTTAGAGTCGCGTTCATCGCGCATCAAACTGTATGATATATTTATTTTTATCCTTGTCAACTTCCGGTGTATCGGTGTCATGGTGCTTTGACATATCGTTTTCGCGCCGTTAATCGATATCCAGTAAGATGAGAGATCGTGGAACCGATGTGGGCAGAGAGAGCAACGATGCGAGCCAGAAAGAGCGACGTGGATCCGATTAAAAGTGCACCGTCTTGCAATTTTTACTCGATTTCCTACCGGGAACGTAATCTTTGACATTTAACGAAATAATCGCGATTAATGTAACGACACACTAATATGAGGTACTCGATTATTTGTCTTGGAATAAATTACTGGACATTCTGTAAGGCAAAGGTATTGAATTGAATTTGTGGATTTGTGGATTTGTGCAAACTCGATTTACCTATACAAGAATGTCAATCAATTTATTCATTTTCGTAATTCTCTTACAGTACAAACAAATAACACTATTAAACCTACTCTTATTCTCTTGTATCTTTTCCTATGTATATCCTCTATTCGTATTCATATTCTATGTTTTCTATAGAATTTTCTATAGAAAATTAGGTCCATTTTATTATCACAAACGATACTATAGAACCTCCCTTGTAACAGACATACTTTAAAGCAATGACAACAGATCCTCCAGAATCGAGTGCCGATCACTTACGGAAATCTCACTGCTCTATTTCAGTCGGCACTGAAAAGCGTTGGGCGCTAAACTGAGGAATGGAGGGAACGTGGCAGTGGGAGCAGCGAAAGCACTGCCATATCATTCTGCTCAACCCTTTGTCGTACGTAAAGGAGAACCCGGAACAGACTGCAGGTGAGTCCTTCTATATCAGCGGATTTTTTGCTTGACCTGACTCTTCCTCACGGATATCTCTCGGTTGAACTCACACGAAGGAGAAAAAGACGATTCTCAAAAGAATCCCGTTTTAGCGACAAGGACGATTACGCCTTTTTATATCCACGGAACCCCTAACGTCGTACCGAGACTAACGTTCAGAGAACGTTTGAAACGAGATCCTTTGGCACCTCTCGAACCGCGGTACGAATACAAATATCCGAAGATCGCTGGGAAAAGTATCATATTCTACCTCGAACTCCTTTCTTCGCTCGCGTGACCCGGCTGGTTTCCCACCCTATCGCGGGGAATTAAAAATAACTACATTTAATATTAGCGGCGAATGTAACACGGTCGACGCTGCGACATCGCGGACTAGGACTTTTGAGGACTCGCGCTATCCTACAACGCGAAGTGACACAGATACGGTTAACAACACCGCGCGATTTTAAACTACTAATCAATGACTACTTCTGAATCACGGATCTACTGTACTCTAATCCAGACCTGACCTACAGACACACACGCACAACTCATTCGTGTTGCAGGGAGGCAGAAAGATCAGTCCTGAAATAAATTGCGAATTGGGTCAGGCATTTTAGTCAGCCTTCTACGTAACTTTAGTCACGTTCAGTGTCCACTGTCCGTCATCGAGTCCTTACTAAGCTAAATAAAGACCTCACGTGATATATATTTTGCGTAATACGAAGTACGGTTTGCACGAAGATTCTAGAAATATTAATTAATTAGCAAAAGCTACGTGAAATCAGCATCTCAATTCTAGACCTCGTTTGTGGCCTCTTTTAGAGTTCGAGAGATCAATGATCAACCTAACGAGAGCGGAAACGTGTTTTTCAGATGAACGAAAGCGGTTACAAGGTAGTGCCTGCAAGGAAGAAGACACCCTGAAGAAGAGGAGTCGCGTGCCGGGTCTGTAGCGCTCGGTAAAAAACGAAAGGGCCCCCCGAGCATCATCGAGAACGGAAAGGGGTCGTCATGGGCCCGGCACACCAAATCGTAGCCCACTGAGCGATGCAAGTAGTTAGGGCCGGGGCCCTGCTAGTGAGCATGTGGCTCACTAGAGAATGAAGAAACAAAACGTCCGGACCCTATCGTTGATCGTCTTCACGTTCACCTACCTCCTCGTCGGCGCTGCAATCTTCGACGTTCTCGAGTCCGAGACGGAGAAACGACGCAAGGAAGCATTGGACGGTACATCTCTTGTTAATTAATCTTTTCCAACAATAGGAAATTGACAGTGGTAACCATGGAGCAAAATCGACATATATTTCTTTGCGTAAAACAAACATACAGGGTTGTGGTACTCTTCAGGAATTTATAAGTTGAGAAACTTATGGGTTGAGTCTTCTAGTTCGAAGCTCTAGAAATTGGGTATTTTTTGGCAAAAGGGATTAAAGACATCGATTTTGTATTTTTTTAATTCAGAAATCGATATCCTGTCAAGAACAGTAAGGAGAAGAAATAAAATTACACTTCACAAATTTAGAAGATTCTTTTCAGGTGATACATAGATATATTTAGCTACGAATGTACGAGGGTCAGGTTATTTATAAACCTGATTAAAACCTGTAGAGGAACAACTTTTATTTCTCAATGGAGCCTTCGCTTCGTGGGTAACCCCTTGCTGAATGCAAACTTTCGCAGCGTACGAATGCTGAAAATAACTCGACAATGTCATCGATGTCCAGACGATTACTTCCTGTTTGTCGAAAAGAAAAGGGAAACAACTGGGAGACTTCGACCACTATCAGGAACGAAACTCGAATCAATTCAGGGACAATCGACTTACTGCGCTCGAAATGTAATTTCGTTAAAAGTATTGATTCTTGGTGTCTTACAAATTGAGGATATGTATAGAACGAAACTTCCAGTTGCTTCGTTCCTTTGCTTCTTTTACTTTTTTCGAACTTTCAACTGTGCGCTGCAATGTTTGTACTGGTTACAAGTTCTACAGAACCCATTTCTCGAGACCGTAAATTTAGTTTTATGGGGGTTGAACGCGAGCGCAGGGAAGAACGTAGACGAGTCTAGACAGTACCGAAGAAAACAATGTTGAAAATATGCGAATTAATTTGTCTCGATGTTGTTCTGTTGGCAGCCATTGAAAAGATGGTTATACGCAAATACAATATAAGCGAGGACGACTTCAAGATCATGGAAACAGTGGTGCTGAAGACGGAACCTCACAAAGCCGGTCAACAGTGGAAATTCGCCGGAGCGTTTTATTATGCGACTACGGTCCTCACGACCATTGGTGCGTATTTGTTTAAATAATAGTCATGAAAAACTTTCAATAATTTCAAAATTTGATATCAAGCATTACAAAAACAATTCAATATTCTCCTTTCTCCCCTATCTGCTACAGTGGGAAATACAGTAAACAACTAAGATTAATTATATGACCAATTATAAATAATAGCCATTCGTATAAAAAGAAATTCGCCAAATATTACATTCTCAATAATCTGATATTCATAAATTAATCTTAAAACAAATTAGCGAAACGAATGTGGGAGATCGAAGATGTAATATCAGCTACACAGCACTTTACTTTTCATGTTCGATATTCAGTTATTCATGTGCGTTCAAAATTCGCGAATAAGTAAACATTTAACTTATATGCATTTAAGGAATTCATTATATAACCGCCATTAAAATATTTGTCCAGCAAGTAACGAATCAATTACCGTGCGCATTTTTTTTATCCCGTTCCGCAAATATTTCCCGTTCGATATATTACTCGCGTTAAACTCCGTATGTGTCGAATAAATCGTGGCATTGAATTATTGAAAACTTCTCACACTGGATTTATGGGCCAACTTTTAGGTTACGGACATTCGACGCCGAACACCATAAGCGGTAAGCTGTTCACGATGTTCTACGCGATCGTCGGAATCCCGTTAGGACTCGTAATGTTCCAGAGCATAGGAGAGCGTCTGAATAAATTCTCGTCCGTCGTAATACGGAACGTAAAGCAGCTTCTTAACTGTAAGGATGTGCAGGTAAAGCTACAAACATCGCAAACCCTTACTGCACAGGGAATAATCAATTAAATATTGACTATGATCGGATACCAAATTTTATGATCTACGCGTGCTACGCTGCTGATCGAAATTATACTTGGAATCGATAATTCAGAGTTACATCGTAGAGTTAAAAGTACAGAAATGTATCAGAGTCCCTAGGGGGGTTGAATAAAACAATCACACGTTGTGGACACATTCACGAAGACGGACACAGATAAACTGCTGGACAAAATTAGCGGAACACTTTTTTAAATGTTCATAATTATGAGAGTTTTTAACCGATTTCTTAGTATACAGGGGTTTTTTGGGTCGTTGATTTCAAATCTAAACTAAAAATTTACGAATTCAGATTTGCGGATCCAATATGGCGGACCAAAATACGAAAATTGATTCGATTTGGATGAAATTTGGTATACAAGGGTTTTCGGGGTCGCTGATTCCAAATCTGAACTGAGAATTTAGAAATTCTAAATGCCGGATCCAATGTACCGGGACAAAATGCGAAAAGTGACTAGATTTTGATAAAACTTTAGGAGTGACGTTTTTCGACGCCCCCCCTCTTTAAGGGGGTGAATTAACCCCATCATATCAACCCTCGCCAATGCGACTTTGTACGCACCTAGAAGACAGTTGAAGACTATACCTCACGAAGTTGCACCGAAATCAGTTGAAAGCTCTCGTAATTATGAACATTTAAAACAGTGTTCCGCTAATTTTGTCCAGTAGTTTAGTTTAAAGTTGTCCGTAGAGTCTTGAGAATTTCGGAAATATTACTCATCGAGTTTGAATCCTATTTATCTGACGTAGTGAGTGAAACTTGTATAATTTTCAGGCCTCAGAAATAAATCTTATCTGCGTGGTGACGACCTTATCTTGCTTAACAATTGCGGGAGGTGCCGCAGCGTTCTCTAGGTACGAAGGGTGGTCGTATTTCGATTCCATCTACTATTGTTTCATCACCCTGACGACGATTGGCTTCGGCGACATGGTCGCGCTGCAAAAGGATAACGCGCTGGACAATAAACCCGAGTACGTCATGTTCGCCCTGATATTCATTCTGTTCGGCTTGGCCATCGTCGCCGCCTCCCTTAATTTATTGGTGCTGAGATTTGTCACCATGAACACGGAGGACGAAAGGCGAGACGAGGCTGAAGCTCTACAGGTAAGGATCTTTGGAACAATATTTGTAGCCACGAATCCTCTACGTCTACGTACGAATTGTATTAACCCTTTATGGTCACGCTAAAGAGACTATCAGTAAAGATCCGAAACGATCAGTATTTTCTGAGGCACCCTAATACTAAGCCAGACAACAAAACATAGCTTCCGTGTCCTGCTAACCTTATAGTGTTCTTTGGGACAAATCTTTTGATGCATATCTACTTTCATTCATCATAACTCAATATATACCAGCATCTTCCACAACTATATAAATTCAAACCTGACATAATTGAGACCCCAAAAGGGTAAGACACCCCGAGATGTAACCTAAGAAGTCAACCTAGACAAAAGTCACCCTAAATACAACACCAACCCTGGTCGTGCGACCATAAAGGGTTAACGAATACTCCTGTCGGTCTCAACATTAGCAGCCACGTCGAATCGATAGAAGAAAGCTGTTTCGCGACCACCCCCTCTCCCTCTTTCGATCGTGATAACCGCTAAAGCGATAAACCGCGCGAGATTCCCTCAAAACGCTCTATAATGGCTCGCAAAACAACGGGCGAGCACGCTCGCGGCGTAATGATTCGAAATGAAAAAAAAAAACTCAAATTGTTATGACGCAGGCTGCGCAAGGAGCCGTGCGCCTGGAGGGCGACGTAATAACGGCGAACGGCTCGATACTGTCGGGCCAAGTAGGCAACCACGGTGACACGATATCGTTGGACGACGACACGTCGGTCTGCAGCTGCCGCTGCAGCGGATTCCAGAAGAAACGACGGAGACCGCGGTTCACGGTCCGTCGCTCGCCCGGTAAGATCTCGCACCTGCTGCCGATGCAGCAGCTGCCGACGTTGAATATGCGCAGTGAGCTGCACCCGCCGCCGCTGACGCCGTTGCTGCAACTGCCGCCGTTGTACCAGCATCGTGCCAGCATCTGACGATCGTCTACCATCGTTACGATGCCGCAATGTGAACTGCCGCGACGGGTGTCCGTCTAAGGCGCTTTTTTTTTTGAAGCACACACACACATACGAAAAAAATTGAATAAAAGTAAAAAATAAAAATGGACAGAGAGAGAGAGAGAGAGAGAGAGAGAGAGAGAGAGAGAGAGAGAGAAAGAGAGAGAAAGGAAGCTCTTTTGCTGGCGACCACTTCAACGAATTTAACCCTCGAAATCGCTCTCCACCGCCTCTCTCCACGACCGCGATCAACCGTTCTCTAGAGCGCGAAACCTCCACCGGAAACCCCTCTAAACCCGGAGGAATTCCCATGCGCGAATACCGTCGAGAACATTATCGCCAATTACGCTTTCTCGCGAGTCGAGTGGCCAGTCTGGTACTTTGTAATCAAATTTTTTTTTTTTTTTTTTTTTTTTTTTTAATGAGGTGGGAGCGGTCGATGTTGGAATTAGTTTGTGTTTAACTCGAGTAACTGCGCGACCACTGCTGTTGGAATATTGCTGTTCGAATATCAGTTTTTAAATATTCCTCTTCGAATATCGTTTTCTGAATATTATTATTAAATAATAGAAATTGAATGACGAAATTCTTTTTCCATCAAAATTAGGAAAATGCTTTTAAAAAAATATAGACATTCGGTTTAAAGTCAAACAATAAAATTCAATATTTTTATTTGAACTTACCAGACAGCCCTCCTCATCGCGTGGATTTCGATTCAGGCGAGGATTGATTCTAAGGGATGCGCTCCAGAGTACGTCGATGTAGTCGAAGTGTCGGTGTTTCGATTGTTCTGAATTACACATTAGGATAAAGTTAGATTATTAATCCGCTTTAAATTAATCCCAAGATTTATAATACCTTTTCGCAGTTAACCCTTGGTGAGCTTCTAGTGCCCTCGCCGTCCCACTGTGTTTGCAAATTACTCTTGAAAGTTATTTTATTTACGTCAGTCATTAATTGTCTTGATTTATGGATTGTTATGTCATGTAAAACGTGTACTTTATATAACAGTGTTCCTTGAATCATCGGAGCCTACGAACTTCTAGAAAAAGAAAGCAAGTGTATTATTAGTACAGTACAAAATTCGAATTAAATCTTACTACAAACTGCTGCTAAAAAATATTTCATTGTCAGTATTAAATACATAAGAATATCCCTTATGGAGATTAAATTTGAGAAGCACTGTTCTAGATTACCATAACATGTATGTATACTTTAGAATTAAGTTTGTTAGTTTAGAGCATTTTGCAGATTCATCTGGACTTTTTGCCATTTCCAAAGTTCCGGGAGGCAAGTAGAAGTAATCCGAGGGTTAAGGGAAATGAAAGTTTAGGACCGTAGGAGTATATTTTGTTCTGTTCTTTGACGTACGCTGAAGCCTTGAAACGACGAATCGGATTTTCTTTGCTGACCTGATCTTCGCGGATATCAAGCACGGCACGGTTGTCGCGGCGAATCGCAGAAATGACGAGATTCTAACCGAGTATTCTTTGAATATTCCACGCGAACACAATTTCACGATGAGAAAATTACGATGAGAAGGAAAGTTTCGTCGAGCGTTTTCTCCCTTCGGATCGCGTGGTCTCGATAAACGGAATTTCAAACGGAGAAACAAATGTTTAGAAATCGTTTCCTAAGCGAGGACGGCGTTCAAGTGCTTCCGATTGTTTCTACACGATCTTCCAATACGTTGGCGCGAATTCATCGTGGACGATATTATTCGTGCACTAGAGCACTATAGCACTTGCGTAAACGGTACAATCTTCCATTAAGTTATTTAATTGCGCGAAAATGATAGAATCTTGTCACGGGTGCGATCAGGCGGTGAACTGAACTCTTCGAAGCAACTATTGTACATGTACAAAGAAAAGGGGTGTGCGAGTGATCATGTGTTCCGTAGCCAAGAAGCATTAATAAAAAAAGAAAACAAACAAATAACAAATAACAAAGAAACGAAAGAGGAGGGGGGAAAAATTGAGATACAGGAGAAATATATATATCTGCGTTCACACTGCTAAAGAAGAGAGATATATATATATGTAAACAAATATATACACACCAAAAGACATATACACAAGACGAACACGACTTTTTCATTAAGGAGGCATTTTACAATTTGTATATATGAACTATAGATATTACACGTACGAATCTAGGTGTACGAATTAAGGTGTTTCGATCTTACGATGTGTATAAATACATACTTGCGAGATAACATTATATTATTATTATCATGTGAGTGCGCGAGTACATGAGAGAATCCCCACAATTCTCGATTTTCCACTTACTACCGTTTAATTAATGATCCAGATCGTTCGAGAAATCGTGGCCGTAACTACGTAGAATTCTAGGTACCATAGATCACGTCACGCACGGACGCTCGGCCAGGATGGTGAAAATATAAATATATACATATACATAAAGTATCTAACGAAGATAATGAATCCATAAATAAATAAAAAAAGCTGTAGATCACGAAAAATTAAATATCGTCCCTTGATCTTATTGGTTTACAGTTACCTACGGAAAGTCAATCCATCGAGACACAAAGCACGTATTTCCGAATAGATAAAAAAACGCGTCATACTATAGTCGAACACGAGCGGAACAATTCTCTTGCCTTTTATCGACAAGTAGAACGTACTCGAGTATTTTTAAGACGTACACTGGATTGCACATACACGCGTAGCATAAGTAGCGAGACTTCGTTTTTTGCCCACTCGGCCTTTCGACGATTTCAAAAACGGCCGCCAGAAAGATACCGGTGTGCGAACGGTTTATCTTTGTATTGTTGCTTTTCGATTTTATTGACTATTCGTTTTCGAATCGCGACACTCTCGCTGCGTATCAATGCCAGTCGTTTGTCAACCTTTGAATCCATTGCAACTGTCAAACCCTTCCGGACACATAGATACATTATTGACTTCATAGATGAGAAAATATTCAAATTTATACGACTTCTATAATCATTTTCAATTTGATTAAATAAAGCGTTAGATATTAATATTACAATCGTAGTTAAATTGAACTCATTACGAAACCTGATTCACCACGACAGTATTTAATAGCTAAATTTTCCGAACTCTGCAACGCTTTTCCAAAATAATTCTTCTAATTCATTAAAGGGAATTCACGAAAGGGAATTCACTTCGTAAAGTCAGGAGTTCGAATTTCGCTGTCGCCTTCATTGCCCATTTTATATTTGTATAAATGAATATAAGCGACAAAAAGAGGTGCTAAGAGGGGATAAACACGTACAAAAATTCGTAGAGAAATCGTATCGTATAGAGGTCGAGCTGAATTTTTATGCAAAAACTCAGAAGGCTTACTGATCCCGTACCGGAAGGGTTGAACACGAAGTTGATTCACGTGGTGATTTTATTAACGATTCCAAGATAAATGGATTCCAATCACGCTTAAACGACTATCGCCATTCGCGTTCCAGTTGAGGGGTTTAAGGATTGTTCGAAACGATAATCTAAAATTGAGGCTGAAGGTAGCGTGGCTACGTAAACGAAACTGCTCGCGATTCGTTGAACCAGCCGTATACATTGAACGTTAATTCGATCGTAGAAAAAGTTCTATTGAATGGGAGAGAAGAAAAAAAACATGGAAATTCAGTGTATACACTTATTATTATTAACTAATTATATTATTATGATTGTCTTCATTAACACTCGCTATAACAGAATGAACGAATTACATTTGTAACATATTAGGGTAGGAACAAACAACGATCACGTCGATTGGAATGAACTTTCACGATATTAGAGGAATAACGAGATGTGCGAGCATCATGGAGACGAATTCGCTGTTATTTCACGGTGAACCACATTTCACGTTCTTTCGATTATCGTTAGGGAGGATTTCATTTTGTACGCTCCTCCTACCGGACAAATGATTTTTAATCGTTTATACTGATTAGCAGTAACGGACGATTGCCTTTTTCGAAATTACAAGATACTAATTATACTACTCCGTCTAAGATCGATTATCTTCCCTTCGCCCCCCTTCCCCCAACCCCTCGACACTTTCCTCCCCCCCCCCCCCCCCCCCACTTGCTCTTAAATTAGATATATATTATATTGAACTTCAAGAAAAAAAAAATTATTCCTTACGAGAATAAAATTTCTGATAATCTGATATACATTTTTTTATTCTCAAATGGACGTTATAGCGTGTTAAGATAATACAAGGATTATATAGACTTTCAGATAATACTTTATATTTATAGCGAGATTCCATAAAGAATAAGTGAGCTTGTACAACCCTTAACCTTCGAATCTAGCGTCATAGAAATTACTCTTTGTTTGTTATTAATTTTTTAGTATTGTAAAATAAAGAATACATTCCGAATACTATGGATGAAAGCGCTTACGAGAACAAACAAAAAAAAAATGAAAGATCGATGAAAATTCGTTTAACGATACAAATACCAACGGTTCGTCACTAAATTCATAAGTAATGTTGCATATCTGTCTGTTCTTTATTTACGAACAACATACGAAGAATGTCACGTGAAAATTATGGTCGTTTTTTCTTTTTTCTTTGTGGAACGATCCTAACCATATTTAAACACACAGAATTCGTGCACGTTATTTATCGAACAGTAAATCGGCATCGGCTGAACACAAGTTAAAACGATAATAAAAATGCAACCGTGCAAGGTGAATCTTGTATTTGCTTATCGATCGAAGTGATAAAAAATAAATTCACTTTGCCATTAATAGACAGATATTGATGAAAAACAGGCAAGTATAAAAAAAAAAACTTGTTTACGCTAAATTATCGATTGCGTCGGGCGTATTAGAACGGATGAACCGGTGTAACTAAAAACGAAGGAGAAAAATGAAAAAAAAAAGAAAGAACAGAAAAGAAAAATCGAGAAGAGAATTGAAAATATTCCCCACGAAATGCAAGCTCAAGAAAATGTAACGAATTATATTAAAGTGCCATCGTTTTCTTATGCATGTTTAAATCCTTGTATTACTTTGGTAAAATATATTATTAAAGAAACAAAGTGAAAAATGTATTCCGAGATCGACAAAGTTATAGATAGCTTCCATTAAACGGAATTAAAGGTTTCGTCGTGCAGACCACGTTGTATAGCAGATGATCTGTAATAAGTAACGTCATTTCGTCCCCTGACATTGGAAAACACTTCCGATCCGTCAAACGACACGAAGAGTTTGTAGGAACGCGGATAAATACTTATTCTATAAGTACAACTTCAGTAGTCGTTTGTTATCGAGTTTCTCTTTACTTTAAACAGTAAAGTTTGTCGTTGATGCACATATTAAGAAACGTTTGATATTTAATTTTCGAAAGATAATCGGTAAATAAATCATTTCCGAGACCAGCCACCATTACGATGGCAGAGTGTGACGTGTCATTAGTTACTCGATAATCTCAATTCGGATAGATCGATCCTCGTAAATTCCAAGTAACGCGTGATTACTATTCGACATTATTGCTGTACAAATGGCCATAAAAGCAGTTAGAATTCACCGATAATTAGAAAACCAATCGTAAATGCTTACGTCATGGAACATCCTCTTATTAATTACACATCGATATTAGTGATATACTAACGCGTCTATAATTTTTTATTTCGCGTACGATTCGACGACACCACAAATACTTTTCAACAGTGATTACCAATTCTAGAAATTAATGGATAAAAATAAACTGCGAACGGACGAGGTTTTACTAATGATAAGAAAACGTAAAGAAACCTTACATATATATAGATAGACATCCAGTTATTTGTTTGAAGGGAAACTACTATAACGAATATTTTAAAATACGATTTTAAATAGCAGTTCACATTAATTATCAAAATGGATCGAGACTAACGCGTTGCACGTGCGAGGAGATGATGCCGTTCGAGGTCAGACATGTGGTTCGTTCAGGCCGTGATAGGATTGCGTTTTTCTCCCATCCTTCTTCCATCAATGTTTTATCATTGTAGCTTGTTAACGAAAAATAAAAAAAATGATCTTATCGATATGGTGTGAAATGTACGAAATATGCATAAATTTTCAACGATCTTCGACCAACGTTAACTTAATTAATCCCACTATTGTTGGATAAGCGAGACGATGTTAAGATAAGCAACCGAAGCTTCAGATCAGCCATTCTGAACACTAATATAGAAAAAAAATAATAAAAGAGACAAAAAAAAATAAACAAAAACAAACGGGCGAAAAAAATCTTGTCGAGTGTATAACGCGACGACTCAAGTTTTCGAAGACGATCACCATGTACACCCGTTTAGCGTAACGTAGTGCGATCGAAAGTTTCACGACATTGAATGTTCAATACGAGAAAACCAATGAACGACAGCACCGAATGATACGCAAAACGATCAAGCGAAAAATTATAAAAACGATACGAACGATTTCATAACTGTTAATTAACAGACACCGTTGTAATCAAATTGAATAGAGTGCGCAGAAATTTTCATTCTGTAAGCTTCCCCCGATCGACGATACGATAGGTTGAATTCACGTTTTAATATGTAATTAGCTTGAGAAATTGACGAACGATTAAATGGTTATCTAAATTTGTGGCAAATCGAAATTAAAAGAATGTATTGTATAAAATAGATTCATTCTCTTCTTGTTTAAATTAAATTTTGATTCAGAAACATCTTGCGTGTGTTTCATGTATTTAAGGATACCTTTTGCAATTAGTTACTTTGGATAGCGGTTACTTATGATACATTCTTTTAATCTCGACATAGCACAAATCAAAAACTGAGCGTCAGATTTGGACATGAAACTCCAAAATGCATGTAACGTATAGACACACGAATATATTCTGCGGCGTGACCGCGAAATTTCAACTTCCCGCATTTTTAACTTTGTATTAGTAGATTACGAACACGATGATTACCATTAATGTTACCTTACACGAGTATAAACAATAATATTTGTAATAGTTGTAAATTTACAATTACGACAACTCGGTGAGATATGAAATTAAACGAGAAAATTTAGACACACATTCTCGCAATTTTGCTATTATTGTTACAGCATAAAATGTAAGTACATAGTTACGAATTTAACAAATTAATTAACTATATACGAACACCGAAATAATAAAATTTTATCGCGGTTTCACTAACAACGCGGATCATTAGAAACAAAAATGAAATCTGACGCATTTTGAATTCTTTTAACAATTCTAGTCCTCCTATTAAATCGTTAAATTATTCTATCGGTTTTGTCAATGAGTTTACTATTGTCACGAATATTGTTTTATATATTTCCATTGCCATTAACTGTTGATTCTAAGAATTAAATTGCTTATTTGTATTATCAAGTCTCTTTATTTGACTATCACCGAAATTTTACTAATACCGTTGATAATTAACAGAAAGAATTAGATTCACTCTATATATAGATCAATGAAAAAGGAAATTAATGCAATCTTAAGGCTGTACATAATAGGAGGATTGATGAATGCGTACTCTGATTGGACCGTGTCTCAAAAAAATGTCTTATCACAAACTTGCGTGAGACTTTTAATTCAGTTTTCGTTCTTGCTTGAAATTGACAAGGAGGGTCTGTTAATACAACAAACAAATTGCCTGGATATACTGTCACTTGCGATAATCACGATTACTTGTAAGATACGAAACAAGGTTCTCTTCGTAGGAGAAAGAGAAAATGGAAACAGAAGTCCCAAAATGGCTTGTACGGGTACAATTTTCTCAAACAAAAAAAAAAAACCGAAAGGAAAGAGACCACATATCCCCTTGTTTTTCATGTATTATAAATAGTGCACCGTCGTTGCAAGGATCTTTAGAAGATCTTCCCCCGATTCCCTTCCCATCCCCAAAAAAACTATCGAAAGAAAATTAATGTTAAACGAAAACGAAAGATAAACGATCGAAAGGATGATAAGGAGAAAATAAACACGGTAATAGCATGCATGTGATCGAAATCGGTTCCCAAAATCTGCCTGCATACACCGCCACGTGTACCGACGTTTAAGTGGATCGTAATTTGTAAATTACTATGGACTTCCTAATTATATGCTGGTATATGATAATACATGTGCTCTGCCACAATAAAGCAGTTTTTTTTATCTAAAACAAATGCCGTTATTTTTATCCCACTACCCGATGAATTATGAAAACCTTTACTCCTCAAATACATATAATAGCAAACACTATGTTATTCCTGAAAACACCCTGTCCAAATGTGTACTCTCATAACGTTGGAGGTGTACGGGTTGCTTTTTCGAAGGGGCAAGTGGCGTAACTAGCAGGTCTGGAGCCCTTGAGTTAATATTCACATTGTATAATGAACCCAACATTTTATCATATTTTTATCAAGTATATACGAACAAACTTAAAATTTTGCATAAAATCCTGTTCAAGACAATTACATAATTTCCTGTAGTTTACTATTTATTACAAAAGTTATATTTACGAGAAAAGTGTTTATAGTTTCAGAAAATAAACCTCAATTAATTGATATTATATATCTTTTTGTTTGTTACAAAGTCCGCTCTTTTAAAATATGGGACCCCTATTACTCCACACATTTTTAATTACGCTACTGGGCAACTTCTTTGCAGATGTTGGTGTTGAAATACTTTGCCATCTACAGTCAGGGCGAAGAAACAGTCAACATGGTGGAGGAAATTCCACGGATGGAAATCCCCACTCTCTGCCTTACATCTACTGTTCTAGTCACATGAAGTAAAAGTATTGTAATAGAAATAGTGTACGATTTTCTTTTCTTCAATCTATACAACAAATTATAAGCCATTCCATTTTCTAAATACACAATCTGTAGAAACTTCAGCAAGTAGAGCGATATTTTTTATAAGGTGATGGGTCACTATTTTTATGTGACCAATACGATTCAAGTGAATAAAAAATGCAATCGAACTGTTTATTACAGACATAAGTTCAGTACTTTCATTTCTTCCAAATGCTGATAAAAATACAGAAGAAAAAAATAGTGTCTCCTCTGAAACTAATGTACTGTGATGTGAACTATGAAAATCAATTTGAATATACTTCATAGATTTGTTCTTTTGTAATATTTTTAGACCATTATTACAGAAATGGATTAAAAAAGAAGTAACGTTTATTATGCAAAGAATATACTAGTGACAAGATTCCATGCTGTACATTCGCTCGATATTACGTAAATTCTGCCAATTTAAACACCTTTCAAATAGTGTGGAAATATATTTTATCAGAGGAAAATGTTAAAAAGATGAAAATAATTATAGCCGATTTACCGTATAATTTAAATCCAAGGTGTTATGTGCAGTGAAGTTCATGGAACAATGGAACAAAGGACAGGTCAGGTCATTGATATGTTGTGATGACGTGAGGGTAAATTATTTCGTCTCAACGAGAAACGTGGCAGCACCATAGCTTTGTCATTTCTTCTTTTACATTTCTTCACTGACTAGAAGAAATACAGAAAATTAATACTATAAAATGTGTAATGCAATTTATTTATCTATCTAAATTTATTTATCTAAATTTTGAAAAAGAGATTATAACGAAACTTCTACTGAGAACACTAGTCAAAATTATTCACAATTCCTAAAATCTCCTGCAAAATATTAATAATAATAGTAAGTTTAAGCTATGGAATGTCGGAATGTAGTAACAAATAAATTACATTCAATTGATATGTTAAAATGTATGAAATAACGGCTAAAAATAGATAGGAAAAATTCTCATCTAGATAAAGCATATCGCATAAAGAATAAGAGATAAACAACTTTTCATGCGTTATTTGCATTATAAAAACTACGATCTGATTTATGCAAACAAAGTATGGTTCACGTTAAAGAATAAGCTGGCGATCGTTACAGAATACTTTGTGTGTTAGGAAATGGAAACCTGTAAAATAAATCCATAGCAGGAATTCAATATTATTCTTTGTTAAGCCCTGATTCATCCCTGTTACTCGTGTGACAAGTAACGTCCGACAGTTTGATCATGCGTGACTGTATCAGTCCGTAGAAGTGGGAGTAATTGTTCATGAAAATTTGATAGGATTGCATTAACTCGGCCGACCTCTTAAACACCTGGCCGATCAATCAGTTACATCAAAGGTAAATTTAACGCGCGATGTACCGCTATTTTTTATATATGTACATTTGCTACGATTACAAAGGGAACACAGTTGGCAACAACTAACTGTAGCCATCTTGTGAAATTTTCTACTTAGTATTAATACGGTACTGACAAACGAATATTAAATGAAAAAATACAATCGATATACCATAAAATCTTAAGTTCCTTCTGTTTGGCAATGATTTCGTAAGCGGCTGCGATAAATCCATATAAAATAACGATGTGTCCAGAAGAAAAAAGCCTTCCCAATATTCGAAACTGTCGTGTGTAAAAGCGGTTGGCTTCGAACGCGACGTGATCGATACGTAACCTTCCCACCGAGGGCTTACGAAGTTGCACGAAACCAGCCGAAAACGGACGAGCATCGACGAGGTTGGCCGAAGCCCCGTGAGCAAACGACGCGTACAGAAGAACGCGGGGTCTTCTCCGGCTTGGGTTGAAACAGCGTTCGCGTCTACGGGCGCGGCTTTGCCTCTCGAGCTGGCGTTTTATACGGTAAAATGTCCTCCCTCGATTATCTGGACCTGTGTCGGCTGTGTCTCGTGAAGGACCGTGTTTCGGTGCCGATTTTCGATGGCGAGGGAGACGTACGGCAGATTTTTCTCAAGATCGCCGCCTGTCTACCGGTGAAGGTAAGCCAACTACGCCATCGCATCGACAATGGCGATCCGCCATTTTGTGCATTTTCGTAGCTACGCCGCGTTTGCTCGCCGTCCACGACTTTTCAACCTCCCAGTAGATGTGCGTTTAGCTTCGATTCTTTCAGAGTTCGCCCTGTATACTGAAGATACGCATGGAGCAATTGCAAGTACCTTCGAAGCAGCGACATCGAGATAGTTGTATATTGCCATTGCTCTGTGTCTCTCTCCTTTTCCCACTTTTTTCGAGCCCGTGTCTAATTCGTCCACGACGCCAGGAATTATTTAATAAAATTTTACCGCGCTTTTTTTCCTCATCGTGTTACACGTCAATGTTTCCGCATTTCTGTACTACGGGATCCTATCGGTAGTCTGAATTTTGATATTAGAAGATAATACGCAGTTTTTCTACTTGATCGATAATCTAATTGAATAATCGTCCTCCTTTTCAACACCTTGTGTTCGATCTCTATCTTTCTGTTGGTAAACGGATATCGCTAAGTCTTTCTAAATCTTCCTTTATTAAATGTATCGTTAATTAGCCATGTGCGTAAACTTATTGAACTCAATAATGCGAAAACTTTATTCATAAATTTCGAGGAATTTCTTGTTTATTAAACGATATTTCCTCCTATGATTGCAGGTTGCCAGAGAAGACAAATTACCCAAAAAAATCTGCGATGATTGTGTGTATAAAGTAGAATTATTTTATCAATTTTGGAATACAACAGCGAATGCGGAAAAGCAACTATTACAATGGCTAGGCGAAGTTGGAATGGAAGGCAAACAGGGTTATGTTACCAATGTTCTCAATCCGGTAATTTTTTTTTCCTCGATAAAATATTTCCCTTACTGTTAAAACAACTTCACACCGTAAATGAAAACAAATGATAATGCAGATACTCTTTTATTTGTTAGATATTCAGTTCCATATTTATCGTAGTTACCATTATATCTAGCGATACAAATATTTTAAATATATTTTGTAAGTTTCTGAATTATGAGGAGGTTACCTTACCTTGTTATTCATTGCATAGTTTTCTTTTATGTAGTTACTTAAAATACTTTGCGTTAATAAGGTTTGTTCTGTATGCTTGATTACAGAATGTAATGAAACAAGAACAGAGTACAGAGAACAGGTTAGATGGCAGTGTGATGCAGCAAGTAAGCGAGCATCAAAACAACATGGGTATGAGTATGATGGACAACATGGGCCTGGGTATTCCTATGATAATATCCAGTGCTAATCAACAACAAATAACCTCAGTTCCTATGGACACAAGTGGCAATTCTGCACAAACTGTTCAGCCAGTCCCTGGTCCAAGTTCACAAACGACACATAACCAAATATCACAAAATCAAACAAGTTCTACGCAACAAGAAGAAGAGGACGAGAGTAGCGAGGACGAGGAAAACTCGGATGATGAATGCGATGGAGATGAAGGTGCGTTGCTCGCTCGTGTATCTCTTCGTATTCGAATTTTTTAATTGTTCGATACGCGTATAATAAATGTATTTAAATATATATTAAAATTTATGTAACATTTTTTTGTTTGCAGGCCTACCTGTAAAGGAAGAGAGCGAAGAAGATCCCAATAGTAGAACTATAGAGCCTACAACCTTTGTAAACGTTTCCTTGGCGTGCGATGAAGCAGGTCCGTCCGGGTTGCAGCAACAGAAAATCGCCGACATGCCTGAGATTCCAATGCCACAAACAGCAGATGGGGATCCCAAATCTGGGTGAGTTTTTTTTTATCCATGTTTTACTTCTTCAGGGCCAAAGGTGCGATTTTGTTGTGGAGAACACAAACATTCACACAGATATCTTCGTTTATGTTTTTCCGAAATATTCGAAATTTTATTATTTGAAGCGAATTACGGCCTATAATTTATTTTTTCCGGCTTACCAATATTTACCGAATAAAATAGGAGAAATACGGACGTGTAATGACTTAGTTAGTTCGCGTGTAATTTTGTTTATAATTCAGAGGTTAATATTATAGCATTTTGAAGAATTTGTTATTCGTGGATTAATACTTCTTTCGTGCATATAATAATTTAAATAGCAATAGATCAAGTGATTAGGAAAATTAAAGCAATTCATCGTGTGTCGGTAAATTATAACATTTATTTCGAGAAGAAAATTCCCGGTGAGTTAGTCACCTAATTCAGGCAAATAAGGTTTAATAGATTTACAAGGTAAGTTCAAACACACCCCACAACCATCTTTGGCTCTCCGTATTTTGCAATTTGATGCGTAACCTTATACCAAAGAAAACTTTCTTCGCGAACTTTATTCGATCTGAAATTTGTTATTATTCTAAATATAATTTCCGTGTGATAACTTCATTAAAGATCATCTCAGAAGTATGGTCACTTTACAGAACAGATTGCAAAATACTTGTTTACTGTCACATGTGGTAGCATGTATGTAGAGTTCATTTCAATATGGTTTTAATGTAATAGTTCAAACGTCTTACGTCATACATTGTTTCATGTGTCCCGTGTAACCGATACCCCTATTTAAATGAACTCTATCCTAGTTATTATTCATACGTGTACGATAAATGAACAGAGGGATTCCACTAATTGTATGTTTAATTTATGAACGTGTTCACATTGCACCTTACAATTTCTATGCAATTCAATATATCGTTGTCCCGTACCGAATTTATAGCAATATAAGCGTTCGATCCCTCTGTTCAGCGGAAAACCAGATGTTTACATGTTGTCAGTATCAATATCCCACGCTTACGTGAAGGCACAAAATGCCGCACTCGGCCGACAATAAGCCGACAAAAATATCACAAACTAATATTTCGTAAAACTAACGTCACTATGGATGCTTGGTGCATCAACCTGTCGCCAAAGCCATACAGTTCGTAAAAAATACCGTTTCTTGTCGTCTTCGTGCTTTCCAATGCCTACGCTTTACATTATCGTCAGGACCACATAGTTTACATTAGTATACCGGTTAGTTTGTAAGTGTTGTCGTTCTGTTAACTGCGAACAAAACCCGCTGATAACCCGTGGTACACAATTCGTACCACAATTTCGGTTTCAATCGATATCGTTTGTGGTTGGCATCCCTATTATTAGATGTCAGCTCGAAACGGCAATAGTGTTTTATGGCAAAAAAGAAAGAATGGATTTAGTCGATCCCCGATATCAAAGACGATATCAAAAACAATTAGAATAAATAACTTACGAAACGTGAAGACACGAAGAATAATCATCATACGAAAAACGAAGCAAGAAGAGGACCACAGACTTTTATATACATTTTAAGGCGAGTATCACACTTTTGTATACTTTTACGCTTGTTTTTTTTATCCGATAGTTTGTAAGTATAATTTGTACATTGAACTGAATTTATTTTTCATTGTGATCTCGTGTACCGCGTTTATATTTCGTAAATATTTGAGATTTACATGATTGCGTGACATTTATCGGTTTTTAATGTTTTTTTTTTTTCTTCTTTTTAGCGCGCTCCAGCATATTTTTTGCTGGAATTTTGCTGCGCTAAATATTTATATAAATATAACATTTATAATAAACATTTATCGCGCACTGGTGTGCTGCGTGTACTGTTTTGTATATATGTGAATACTTTAACTCGCGATTTTTGCGTGCCTTTTAAGACACTTACATTACAAGTAGTATGTTTTTTAATATACTTCTATTGCAAGTGTTGCACGCGACCAGGCTGCATTTACGCGCCGGTTATTGAAGCGATTTTTTAAACTGCGTGTTTTACATTTCCTTTTCTTGCGCATTATTATTTGCACCGGTGGCTTATAAACACTGGTGCATGATTTACTTTTTTTTGCGCAAGAAAACTTGTAATTGATCAATTTATATCTTTTTCACTCATTACTATGTAGCTAGAAACATTTCTGTTTAAAGGATCTAACACCAGAAACAGAAAGATGTTTAAATTTTGTCCATATTATTATGCGTTCGTTAACAATTCGCGCCATACTCTTTGGTATTTTTAAATATTTTTTTTTTTTTATTGCAATTATCAATTGCAATATATGCGTTTTTCTTGGGTGTGCTTACACACTCGAGTATTTCATTTTGTTCAATTCTGAAGAAGAAAAGTCTTCGCCACGGTTTAAGCAATAAGAAGAGGACGACGACGATGCACACGGATATTGGATTTCCTTTCAAAGGTGAGAATCTAATTTTACTATAACATAATCTTACATTGATTTGGTTTTAAACGTGTTCTATTTAGTAATGATAATTTTCTAACAAGGATTTGCTTTCCTCTAACTTTTTTGCCAAGTTTTGTAGCTTAACTTTTTTCTTCTTTCTGCTGGTTTGCTGTAGAAACCTTTAATTTCTCCTTCGGTTTGTGCCAATTATATTTCTTTAGAGTCTAGAGATGTGGTAAGGCGAGGAACAATGTAACATCGCAAATAAAATCCCCGCGAACGTTTAATTTCTTTAGTTACATTCATTATCAACACATCTGTTATAGATCGAATCACGAAAAGGATCAAACGTAAAGTTATCATTTAACGGTTTATATTTAGAAGTATTACGTACAAATTATATGAATGACAAGACACTGTATCATAGACACCTAAAGGTAAAGTACAGTAAAGTAAACAAAGCATTCGTTACGATAATTCGGAGCGGATCTATCTCGACGGTAACGATGACGACAGAACTCTCTAAGCTCGATCTTTGCACACAAAAACGCTCTCGTCGCACTGTACTGCTGTGTGTCTCGAGGGAAGCCACCAACGCCCAAGCACTTCGCACGGTCACTTTGCAGAAATCACAAAAAAAAAAGAAAGAAGAAAACTTCTCTTTTCTCCGCTTTTTCCTATCTTTCTCACCGCCACCGCCTGCCGCAACAGAGAACGCAAGATCACGAGAACGAATCAAAGGCAAACGCTATGTGTGTAACGTTCGGTTGTTCTCCGATGCATTGTCCTTGGATTTTGTCGATTTCAGGGAAGGAAGCGAGACCTTCGGCGGATTGTCGGGGATGCTGCGACAAATACTCTCACCATCGCCCGAGACGGGGGATATCGGTTTACCCGTCAGTTGTACCTTGCTTCAGAACAGCTCTATATTCTCCAATCAATCGTCGATGATGCCCACTACGTACCAAACCGTCCCGTCCCATTTGCCATCCATGTGTCCCGACCAACACCTCATGGATCACGTGCAGATAGTCGTCGAGTCCCATCCGTGTCCCACCTGCGGCCTCGAGTTTCGTAGCGCTTTGAAACTAAACTACCATATAAGAACGAGCCACACCGCGCTGCCGGAATTCGATCACAATTTAGAGAACCCTGTGAGATACTCGTGCACAATTTGCTCGCGAAGTTTCTTCGCGCTGAGTCACCTGAGGATGCACGAGGTAACGCATTCGGCCCCAGTCGCGACTTCCTGCGGTCCGGTGCCGACGATATCGACGTCGAACGTCGAGAAAACGTTTGCCTGCGATCGTTGTCAGGCCAGCTTCCGCTACAGGACGCTCCTCGAGCGTCACAGAAGGATGCACGAGGTCGGCCTGGAGAAACCGTACTCCTGTCCCAGGTGTCTGATGCGTTTCGAGACACGAAATCTGTACAATCATCACGCGAAAACCCACAAGCCAGTTTTACCGGGGAACGATAGAATCACCGACACCGTCGTATCTCATGGTGATCCGGTCACCAGCAGTATTAGCGGTACCGTGGCGTCGTCGAACAAATCGATAGTCTCGTACCCGTGCGACTCCTGCTCTAAACAGTTCGCCACCATCGAGTCTCTGACCACCCACAAAGCTGTGCACAGGTCCAGACCTCTCGTTTGCGATGTCTGCGGCAAAGGTTTCACCCATCGCAAATATTACGTGGTGCATCAGCGCATCCATACCGGCGAGAGACCGTATCTTTGTGCCATGTGCGGGAAGTCGTTTACCCAGGCATCCACGCTCACCGTTCATCGTCGTTACCACACTGGAGAACGGCCGTACACCTGTACACTCTGCGGTAAAGGGTTTGTCACCAGAACGATCATGCTTAATCACATGAAAAAACATTGAGGACCCAGCGGTTGGTAGGTTCAACGAGGCGACGATTGTTAATGCACACACGATTGTGCGGGGCACTGATTCATATTTTGTTACGGATGTTGGTGATTCTTTTTTAGTCGAAGTTTATTGTTAATTAAAAGTTTAATCTGTTATAGTCGTAGAACGGTGAAAACGTTCAGTACTCGTATTCGTTTCTAGTCTGCAATAGGAGTAAAATGTTTAGGATAGGTAGGGGATTACAATCTTTTCTTTTTTTTCTTTACAACATATTCGTATGGCATTTCGAATGGTTTTAGTTTGAAAGTTAGGTACTGTTTAAGAAAAATTGATTGCAATGTGCCTTAAGATTGCTTACAAGTTATGTGGCCTTATATAAATCGTACCGCGTGGTAAGACTTTATCAAAATTATTTTTGTTAGTATTTTTACAAATTTTAACGATAGTGATAGGTTGCTTTGTGTTTAAGTTGAAACGAATTTGTTGATTAATCCTAGATATACGTAACGAAATTGCTAGTCTACTAATGTTAAATATAACATGCATGTGGTCACTGTGATATTGTTCGTACATAAATATTCTTGATATTTTAAAGCGATAGGATATAATTGAATTACTTGAATTCATAGTATCTCGAAGTTTTCTTTAAATACGATACTTTCGAACGCGAAATTTCATACAATGAAAATTAGTACCTGTATAA